TAAATAAGTTCAAAATTTAACAATCTGTGGCTCAAAAAAATATTATCTTTAATGAAATAAATCTGTGAGAATTACTGTTTCCTCATATAAATTAGAAATATGAAAGTCTGACCATGAGAGAGATGATCTAGACCAGAATCTATTGCAGAGGGTGGTGGTTGTAGGGATGGCCTTCTTTAATTTATCTTTCATTATGCATGTCATTATTGGATAGCTTTTGACTTCATTGTCATTATTTACTTATTTACAGTATGTAGCATTGTTTTTTCCATAATGGAAAAGAATCCCATTGTTTGTGTTATCATTTTAGTTGCTTTACCTTAGGGCCAATAAAGACTATTTTAATGAGAGCAGCCCTCAGTCATCTCCTCATTTTTCTTTTTGTATCTTAAAGATCTTACACTTTATACCCTTATTCCCAGAATCATTAGGAACTCTAACTTTCAAGGGAATAGAAATGAATAAAGGCAAACTGGCTTTCCAGGAAGAATCTGAGTACATTCTATTTCATGTTCCATGATAATCTTTTTTTTGTCTCATATTTGAACTCAGTATGATACATCAAAAAAGGAGACATTTGGAGGCTGTTTTTTTCTCATTTTAAAATGAGTTTAGGCTTAATGCTAGTTAGCTGGGTGTTTTTACATTTTTATTATGAATAAGTATTTAACTTAGAGGCAGCAGATTGACCCAAAGGTACAGCATTTAATTTGGCTTTATAGTTTATTGAGATGCTAATTTATTCTGAGTTTTTGAATACATTTCGTGTCTTTTCTTCCTTCCTTAGAATAGTATCAAAAAGACCTTATATCAGTGATGAGTTAGGAAGGATAGGAAGTCTTTATTTTCCAAGGGCATATTTATTGAGCTAATAGCTATTTCTGAGCCTCTGGGCAACTATAAGAATTCTCAGGAATAAAGTAGATGTGACTTCATAGGTTGATATTTAATTCTTGTTCAGGTAGAAGTAAAACTAAAGATGTTTTTTACTTTTTATCTTAAAACTAGAGAAAATCAAAAAATGGAGAGCCAAATTACTTCCTAGAAACACGGCTTCTTGATCGTGGCCCAAAAGCACATCTGAAGAGGGAAAACAGAGGCCTGTGTACCCGAATGACATTGTGCCTGATCTAATAAGGGATGAAATAGATGTCAGAGCAGAGTGGTTAAGATGCTTCGTGTAATTCAAGCAGTATTTATGGAGTGCCAAGAGTAAAGAGAACGTGTCAGATGCCATGACAGTGACAATAGTGAGGAAGACACAGTTGTTGCCTTCAAGTGGCTTTCAGTCTAATGGAGTGGTTGCATCAAGGTACAGTGTAAGTCGTGACAGAGGTCCAGAGTTAGTGTTCGAGGGGCGGGGAAGAGGGAGGATGGGGTTAAAGGAAGAAAAGAGAAAATTCAGTTGGCGAAAACAGGCAAAGTCTTCATGAAGGGAAAAGCATTTTAAATGCACCTTGAAAGATGTGAAAGATTTCTACAAGGAAAAAGAGAAGGAAGAATGTTCCATCTAGTTAGAGGAAGCAACTTGAACTGTGAAAGAGAGCTGAGTGAGAGTGGGATGTATTTGCACATAATAAGTGGTTCAGTTTGATTACGGAGGACAGGGTACAGTTCAGTTCAATAAACATTTATTGAGTGCTTACCACGTATATTATTTGTACTTTGATTTTTCATGGTGGGGAAGGTGTAGTAGAATGTTCCTTTGGCCGGAGGGAGAGGAATCAAAAGAGAGGAGCTATTGAATATGTGGAAATGAAGGGGGCATAGATATCTATCTATCTGTCTGTCTATCAATACTGGTACTTGATAGTATCAAGAACACAGACAGAGGAGCTAGCCTTGCAATTGAATAAGGTCTGTCTTCCTGTGAGACTGAGAGAAGGAAAGAGATGGTTGAAAATTAGATGAATTGTGAATGCTTTTAAGCTTTATATATGTGGAGTTGATCTATAAATTTATAAACATTTATTGAGGCTCTATTATACCAGGTACTAGGCACTGGGAAAGCAGAAACATGGTCTAAATCTGATCTTCATCACTTCATTCTCCTCTGCCAACTCTTTGAATGCAATAGCCAATTATTGATTATCTTTTTAAAATCTCCTACATTGTCTAGAATGTGGTCCCTTGAACATAGTAGGGGACCAATAAATGTTTATGGAATTGTTGAATGGATTTAGTCTAATTTGAATAGTTTTTCTTTCTTCTGTAAATACTTTTGAGTATTTGATAGAAATGAGAACCTTAGCATTACTGGGGTTCTCACTGGCCCAAAAGTAGCTTGATCTAGAGGAAAGATGAACTGGACTTGAAGTCGAAATTGGGGCCATAGCCTCTGCCATTTGCCATTTGTGATTGTGAGAAAATTATTTATTAAATAACATGTAGGGACCTCAATTTCTTAAAGTGGTGGTAGTAATACCCACATTACCTACTTCATAATGTTGCCTAAGACTCATGATATAATTTTATGTGAAAGCACTTTGCAAATTAAAAAGGATCCAGGTAAGGCATTGAAATTAACAGACCTTTCTTTTTCAGGATCGATTATTCTATTTGGATTTAGAATCGAATTATATAACATTTTAATGTTTATTCTTCAATAATTTAGTTTCTTCTCAGAAGAAGATTTCATGTAGACGACTGATTGATAGGAGAGTTTTGCAGAGGCATAATTTAGACAGATTCATGCAAATTTTGACACATGCTTTATTCCTCTATTTTCATACCCACAATACTACTTATTAAACTCCAGTGCGGCACTGGGAAAGTTTTTGTGAGAATTATTTTTTTGCATATCTTCCTGGGGACTCTTTTTCATTCCTAATATTGCAAGTGCAGTAAGTCCTTTCGGAAACCTGTGTTTGCACGTTGGGGATGGTGGGTGAGTTTTAAGGCAGCATGCTTCCCTTATGGTATTATCTACTGGGAGTCAGAGGATGGGGGTTAGTAACGTGAGTGTGAAAGAAATTCTATTTGTTGGCATTGCTCTAGTCGGGAAATGGAGAAGCCTCCAGTGCTAATTATTGAAGGCTAATGGAGTTAGAAATTAATAATGGAATGCCTTGTCTGGGACCATATTTAAAACCCCCAAATAGAGGCTTTGCTGTACATTGAACCCCAGATGCATGAATATAAATTGATACTAGATTGACAGAGATAATATTGATCCTGAGTCTTGTCTGTACAGGTATTTCATTAACCACGGAGCCAGTGTGGGTATTGTCAACAGTGAAGGTGAAGTCCCCTCTGACCTTGCAGAAGAGCCAGCCATGAAGGATCTTCTTCTGGAGCAAGTAAAGAAGCAAGGTAACCTAGCAGATTGGCGGGGGCCAGGAGAGACTCTCAAACACTGCCACTTACAGAAATGAATCCATTTGCTGTATAGAGCCTTTCATTATCATATAACAGGAGAGGATTAGATCTGTCTGCACAGCACGAATCATCAGTTACCAGCGTGGATCCTCTTATAGTAATAACTCACACAAACATAGGCCAAATGCCAAAAGAATGACCAGTCATTCCTTGTTTTTGCCACTCTGAGGTTGTATAACCATTGTATGGTTTGTATGGTTAGGAGTGACCTGATGAGGAGCGTGAATGCTTCTTACTATGTGTATATATGGTATTGGATTTTGCTACACATTGTAGAATCCAGAGAAATGATGAGATATTGTGTAAATTTGAATATAGGCCAAATTCAGTTTGTGACTTTGCATCTTTTCCCTTGATGAGAGCTAAAAGTGGTGCTGGTAAAGATACTTATTGTAACCTCTGAAATTATCTTTAATCATACTAACCATGAAAATTATTCTGGTAGTTTGTTAAGGTGAGGAAGCTAACTTAGAAGAATATACTCTAAAAATGCTTATTCTTATTTTATAGGTTTAGAAGAGTCCATTTTACAGAATAGAGTGGGATTTTCCTACTGGAAACCCCTGGGTTCATTTAATTAAAAAAATATTGTGAATAATACTAGGGCAGAAAGCAAGGAGGACAGATCTTAGGAAATCTGCTAGAACCATCATAAAACTCTGTGGACATGATTTGTAGTGTTTTTTTAGTCTTTCTGCTAAACTGCCTTGCCCACAATCTGCAGTTCATCCCAAAGGATTTAACCTCCAGTGGCCTTTCCTTATATGAACTTTTAGTCAGGCAGGGCCAAATCTTGCC